TCTCGGGGACGGCCCTGGAGTTCCCGTGGACCACGGGGGTCTGTTTCAAGCAGACGACCTTATGGTGAGTACCGAATATCTCTAAAAGTGGGGGGCAGACTTGCGTTGTTTCATCATGCTTGGAAAATTTTAACCGCAGATGTTTGGGTATTAAATACGATACAAGGGTACCTATTGGAGTTAACCTCCTACCCAGTTCAGACACAGTTCCCTCGAGAACTAAATATGGCCAGCCAACACCAGATGATGATCTCTACAGAGATCGCAGAGTTAGCGTCCAAGAACGCTATTCAACAAATCCCATGGGACACAGAAGGTTTCGTGAGCAACTTGTTTCTGGTCCCCAAGAAAGGAGGCGGGGTACGCCCAGTAATAAATCTCCGGCCTCTAAATGCTTTTGTCCAATACCACCATTTCAAAATGGAGGGTATTCATTGCCTTCGGGACCTGCTCATACCATCAGATTGGATGGTCAAGATAGATTTACGGGACGCTTACCTGACCATCCCGATCGCAGAGGCGCACCGAAACCTACTGCAATTTCAGTGGCAGGGAACGAAATGGAGGTTTGTATGTCTGCCATTTGGCCTATCCTCCGCTCCATGGTGCTTCACAAAATTGCAAAAACCAGTGATTGCCTTCCTGCGCACACGAGGGGTCAGATTAATAATTTATCTAGACGACATCCTTCTTCTGTCCCAATCTCAATCCCAACTTCGCATTCACCTATCCTGGACGATCCACCTTATCCAAAACTTAGGATTTTTGGTGAATTGGGAAAAATCAATTCTACAACCCTCCAGACAGATGGAATTTCTGGGTTTCCAAGTCGACTCTGTTCAACAGAGGTTGTGTCTACCCAAAGACAAAATGATTTCGATCAAGAAGGAGATCAGACGGCTTATGCATCGTACGACTATTTCCCTCCGACAACTTGCAAGGATCATAGGGCTGTTGGCATCGTCCATACAGGCGATCTTCCCAGGACCGCTACACTATCGTGCCCTACAAAGACTCAAAGCCTCATACCTACGCTCTGGTCACTCATACGAAACCTGCGTCACACTGGACGAAGACTCCAGGGAGGAACTAGACTGGTGGCTAGCACACATGGAGGCATGGAACGGACGGGCGATATTTGGATCGACGCCGGACCTGGTCATAGAGTCGGACGCCAGCTTACATGACTGGGGCGCGCATTGCGGGTCAGTTTCCACCGGTGGCAGATGGTCGAACGAAGAGTCTCGGTTACACATCAACTGCCTAGAGCTATTAGCAGCGTCTTTTGCCATTCGCAGTATGACCCCCACAGGCATTTCATGCTCGATCTTAATCAAGATGGACAACGTCTCAGCTGTACGTTATATCAACCATCTAGGGGGGACGAAATCGAAGGTTCTCGCTTTGATGGCTCGAGATTTTTGGCACTATTGCTTGCAAAACAGCATTTCAGTAATAGCAGAGTACATTCCGGGGCAGGACAATACAATGGCGGACTGGAACTCCCGGTACCTTCGGGACGCAGGGGACTGGCACCTCCACCCAATGATTTTTCAACGCCTCTCTCGGCTCTGGGGACCTTTCAGTATAGACCTCTTCGCGTCTCGACTGAACACCCAACTTCCTCGGTTCTTCAGTTGGAGACCGGATCCAGATGCTCTGACAACAGATGCATTCCTGGAGGACTGGACCAAGGGCAGGAACTACGCGTTCCCCCCGTTCAACCTCATTTCTCGGACCCTAGCGGTCCTTCGATATTCCAAGGGGACGCTGGCACTGATAACCCCGTTATGGAAGTCACAGCCTTGGTTTCCTCAGTTATTGGAAATGTTGATAGATTTCCCACAACTGTTGCCGGACATTCCCTACCTCTTAACCAACCCAGAGGGAATGAGTCACGAGCTGGCCAACCAAGGCCTACTGAAACTGATGGCATGGCTCATTTCAGGAGATCATGGAATCTCGAGGAGGTTTCGCAGACGACACTCAGTCTCTTGGCAGAGTCATGGGCACCAGGTACCAGACGTGCCTACGGATCGGCTTGGAGAAAATGGTCTGATTGGTGCATGGGACAGTCAATGGATCCCATATCAGCTTCTACAAAAGCAATCCTACAATTTCTGACTCTACTCTTTGAGGAAGGGAAAGCCTTTCGCACTATAAATCTGTACCGATCAGCTATATCGGCGAGACATATGGGGTTGGATGGCACCCCAATAGGTAAACATGCCCTTATATGTCGTTTACTCAAAGGCATCCGTCTTACTCGACCTCCTCAGAATCGATATTCTTCCTTTTGGGATGTCAATGTGATGTTGCGTTTGATCGAGTCTTGGCCTAAGGACCAGGAACTTTCACTGAAGCAATTGTCGGCCAAACTGCTGATGCTGTTTTGTTTACTTTCATGTAAACGAGTCGCTGATGTCAGGGCGCTAGACTGGCATGCACGTGTTTTTGTCCCAAACGGAGTATCCTTTAATATTTCACGTAGAACAAAATCCTCGACTAAGGAAGTTTTCTACCCAACATTGCCGGACAACCCAAGTTTGTGCCCTGTGTTATGTCTGAAGGAATACGAGCATCGCACGGCTTCACTCCGTCCAGGACACACCCATCCACTGTTCATCTCATTCAAAAGACCTCACCTACCAGTATCTACTGCTACTTTAGCTCGTTGGGTCAAATGGTTGCTGTCAATGGCAGGCATAGACACCTCGATTTTTCCTCGCATTCCGTTCGCGGAGCTATGGCCTCTAAAGCAGCCATGATAGGTTGTAAATTGGAGGATATACTACGGGCAGCCGACTGGTCGAATGAGTCTACATTTCGTAATTTCTATTTACGCCCAGTGCAACACATTTCCAGTGCAGTGGTTGCTCAGCTTTAAAATAGCATAATAGGAGCCTCCGTGTCTTTAATAAAATTACCAGATTTTACTATTAACATGACGTAAAGTCATGATTTTATTAATGACACGGAGGCGAGTATTATTCCCTCCCACCCTACCCAGAGTGGTGAGTAAGTTACAACCCAGAACATGAAGCGTTTATGATGACTTCATACGGTAGGTACATGATCATTCATGACACGGGTGAGTGAGTATTCTATGAATGTAATTTATATGATACATATGGCCGTCAAGATTTGATTTAATTACATCGTTTGATTAACATGACTGACGAGTTGTTGATTGCGGAATTCAGTCACAAGATTTCGATATTACCATATTTCTCCTTTCTTTTAGCTTGAATACAACTGGAGAGTTGGCGGTTGAAACGGTTCTAGATTGAAGTTCCAGTTATGGTTTTTGGTTCGTGGATTCGTAGTTATGTTTGGAATACTTGAAATTTTGCACTAATGGTCTTCAGGATCTACGCAGAAAGAGGAGGAGTCAAGGAGCACTACACCTGTATGGATTATACTGGATGCTGATTGGTGCTACTGTTACCAGGCTACTGTTATGGTTTTCTTTTTTTCTATGATTCTCTCATACATCCCTTTTCTTGCTGCCGGGAGTATAATAAAGAAAGAGAATGCATAATACTCGCCTCCGTGTCATTAATAAAATCATGACTTTACGTCATGTTAATAGTAAAATCTGGTAATTTGCGCTAAATGTCTGTTCAAATTCTGCTTCGCATATCTATGTCACTATGTATACTAGTCTTTGTCTGAGGTATATTTACACTCCTGTCCAGGCCAGTAATTTCAAAGCTGACAGGCTTGTTTATTTTTGGAGCTAAAATTTCTCTTAACCCCTTAACGACAAGTGACGGACGAGGTCCGTCACTCAGGGGATTGCCCTTATGACGCTTGACGGACCTCGTCCGTCACCCGTTAAAATTAACCTCGAATCGCCGCGATCGCGGGGTTAATGGTGCTCCGGTCTGCCTCTACATTAGAGGCAGACCGGGAGCACCCGATAGTGACAGCATGTCAGAGCGAGCACATGTACTCAGCATACTTGCCTTCCGCCTCCCTGCACTTCCCGGTTCTGTGTGAAGTGCAGGGAGCCGGAACAGTGATGATCCTGCCCACTGTTAAAAAAATAAATAGTTTATTTAAAATCCCACCCTCTTTTACTCATTTTAATAAAAAATTAACCCTTTCCCTGCCAATTGATCACTGACTACAGGGATTACATTTTACTGTCATCTGATTTCTTTTTTTAACCCCTGAGGGTTAATTTTTTTTTTTTTTTTTTTTTAACCCTCTGGGGTTAAATTTATTTAGTTAATTAATTTAAATATTTTAAAATTATATATTTAGCTAGCTGGGATGGGTGGAAGTTAGTGGGGAATTGGGGGATTTGGTGTTCGGCTAACTAGGGGTTAACGTTAAAAAAGTTTTAAAATAGACTTTAAAAAGTTAAAAATTAAGCTAAAAAAAGTTTCAATAACGTTTAAGTAAAAAAAAAAAACCCCTTTACCCAGTCCAAATAAAAATAACCCCTTCCCTGCCAGTCGATCACTGCCTACAGTGATCAAAATACAGATCACAGTATTATACTGTGATCTAATTTTTTTTTTTTTTTAACCCCTGATTATTAACATTTATTTTTTAACCCTAATGGGTTCAATTTATTTAATTAATTTAAATATTTTATAATTATATATTTTGCTAGCTGGGATGGGTGGGAGTTATGGGAAAATGGGGAATTTACTGTTAGTGATGCTTACTGCTAGTTAGGGGTTAACAGTAAAAAAAAAAAAAAGCTTAGAAAAATGTTAAATCTGTAAAAAAAAGTTTTAAGAAAGTTTAGCAAAGTTTTAAAAAAAATTAATGAGCAAAACAAAAATTTAAAAACGCTCATTACCACTACACCTGGAACAAACTAGAGAAAAAATGATCCGACGCTAAGGTTCAAAATATGGCTTTTGAATTACCCCAGGGTGGATTCTTTAATAAATAGTATGTGTTTGTGGGGAAGTTACAATAACCAACCGTCTAAACTACTCCAAATTGGAACATGGACACAGCGTAAAACTTCAAAGTTTGAAAAAAACTGGCTGCGTCTCAAGTGCGCCCCTTCAACATCCACATATACCTGGCAAAGGTACATATGGTGGTATTGCTGTACTCAGACGTCAACATATGAAGTATTATACAGTCGTCACACACATAAGGTTTGCAAAATATACTGTGCAAACTCACTTTGTTTGTCAAAAAGGTAGGAAAAACACCACTACACTTGGTACAAGCTAGCGGAAAAATGATCCCACGCTAAGGTTCAAAATATGCATTTTGAAATTATATAGCCCGGTAAAATACTCTATAATGGGACATGGGCACAGCGTAAAAATTTAAAGTTTTAAAAAAACTGGAATGGCTGTGTCCCAAATGTGCCCCTCCGATGTCCACATATACCTGGCAAAGGTACATACGGGGGTATTGCTGTACTCAGCCGACATAGCTGAGCAACATATGAAGTATTATATACTGGTAGCACACATAAGGTTTGCAAAATATACCATGCAAACTCACTTTGTGTGTCAAAAAGGCAGAAAAAACACTTATTACCACTACACTTGGTACAAGCTAGCGAAAAAATGATCCCACGCTAAGGTTCAAAATATACCCTGGGGTGTCTACTTTAAGAAATGGTAGGCCTTTGTGGGGTAGTTTGAATTTAAACCCTGCTAAGATGCTTGGAAATTGCACATAGGCCCAGTGTCAAAATTCAAAGTTCGGTAAAAACTGATATGGCTTGGTCTCCAATATGGCACTGTAGCTTCACGAAATAGTGCCAAAGACATTCATTGGGGGTGTCTTTTTACTCAGAAGACTTAGCCGAGCATAATTTGGGGGGGTTTGAACTTAGTGGCACATGTGAAATATACAAAATGCCCAGCAAAAATGCAATCCATATGTAAAAAACGCACAAATTTTTTTTATCACATACTTTAGCATATATTGGTGAAAAAATGGGGGCATGTTAAGTCACAATATGCACCTTATGAGATACCCTGGAGTGTCTACTTTTACAAATGGTAGGCTTTTGTGTGGGTTTTTTGAACAGTTAAACTGGTATAATACCCCAAATGGAAGCATAGGCTCATTAAATCCGTCTCTCAAAATTCTACTGTGAAAACTGAAAAGGACAGGTCTCCTATATGGCACTGTAGCTTCATGAAATAGTGCCAAAGACATACAATGGGGGTGTCATTTTACTCAGAAGACTTAGCTGAGCATAATTTGGGGGGTTTGAACTTAGTGGCACATGTGAAATATACAAAATGCCCAGCAAAAATGCAATCCATGTGTAAAAAAACGCATAAAATATTTTTTACCACATACTTTGGCATATATCATTGAAAAAATGGGGGCATGTTAAGGCACAATATGCACCTTATGAGATACCCTGGAGTGTCTACTTTTACAAGTGGTAGGCCTTTGTGAGGTTTTTTTGAACAGTCAAACTGTTATAATACCCCAAATGGAAGCATAGGCTCATTAAATCCGTCTCTCAAAATTCTATTGTGAATACTGAAAAGAACAGGCCTCCTATATGGCACTGTAACTTCACGAAATAGTGCCAAAGACATACAATGGGGGTGTCATTTTACTCAGCAGATGTAACTGAACACAAAATAAAACTTTGTACAGGAATAGCACACACCAACTTTACAAAATACACATGAGAATTTCTTTGTTATAAGTTTGTGTGCCAAAAACTAAATAAAACACAATTTTACTCCAATATTTAGCAGAGGTTGGCGGTGAAATGGCTACGTAGAAAGTGTCAAAACAACCCTAGGTAAATAGCCTGTGATTTCTACTTTATATAAATATATACTTTTGTGTGGCAATTTTGTTTTCTTTTATGGCTATTAAGCTTACAAGACAAACATACCAAATTCTAAAATCGCTCCACATTAAAAGTTTATTTTACTCCTTGTGCTTTGTGACCTGTAACTACCAAAAAAAACTTAAAATCCCAGACACATTATATATTCTGTAAATTAGAACAACTAAATGAATTTATTTTTAATTACTTTCCTTAACTTGCACTAATTATGCACACATTATTATTGCAAAAATTGTAAAAAAAAAAATTTTTTATCATAAATAAGCATTTATATATATGTCTTACATCAAATTAAAGCCCTTTCTGTCCTTTAAAAAACTATATATAATATGTGTCGGTGCAATAAATGATTAAAATGCAAATTGCAGTTGAACGCAAACAGCAAAAGATGAAGAAAAATGCTATTGACATTAAGTGAAAGACAAGCTTCTGAAGCTCTGTCCTTAACCCCTTTAGGACACAACTTCTGGAATAAAAGTGAATCATGACGGAATATTTCCGTCATGTGTCATTAAGTGGTTAAGTCGTTCAGGACTGAGGCAGTTGTACAAGTTCAGATCAAAACAAAACGTAAACAAAACCTTGAATTTGCGCTATATGTCTGTTAAACCGTAGTTCACCTCTTTCATATTAAGTGCACCCACACTTATTATATATCATTTTGTTCAGGAGAAACAGGGCTTTAATTTCTCATGAACTAGTAATATATGAAACATAACTTTTTATGAATAAAATAAAAAAACTGTTAGAAATTTAGATTTTTTTTTTTTTACATTTGTAGTTCCGCCTGCCATTTTAGCTGTAAATGTCATAATACTGTTCACTTTTACTACAATAATATGCACAGATTTGCATTCAGCAAAGTCTTACGAGTACAACAGTAGCCCCATTAACAGATTTTACAGTGTTTTGGAAAGTTACAGGTTCAAATATAGCACATTCCATTTTTTATTTTTTTTCACATAAAAATTTGCCAGATTAGTAATGTTACATTTGAGACCGTGTGGTATGAGAATTACCCCCATGATGGCATGCCATTTGCAAAAGTACACAACCCATGGTATTGCAAGTGGGGTATGTCCAGTCTTTTTTTAGTAGCCACTTATTCACAACTTGGCGTTCAAATTAGTTTTTGGCATTTTTCACACACAAACAAATATGAACGCTAACTTTGGCCAGTATTTATGACTGAGTGGCTACTAAAAATAACTGGACATACCCCATTTGCAATACCTTGGGTTGTCTTCTTTTGCAAATGGTATGCAATCATGGGGGTAATTCTCATTCCTGGGCTACCAAACGGTCTCAAAAGCAACATTACCAAACTGTTACTATTGTAACACTCTGCTAATTGGTCCTCCCAGAAGCTGTACTGCCCCGTTACAGTCTGTAATGAATGTTGCCGCCAGACTGACTTTCCTTTCTAGTCGGTCTTCTCACACCTCACTCCTCTGTCAGTCCTTACATTTTCTTCCTGTATCCTATAGGAGTCTATTCAAAGTACTAAGCCTCCTGCAAAGCAATGTCCTAACATGACCGTTAAAATAACCGTGACCAATAGGTGCAACATACCGGTGACTCAAATACTGCTTTCACTCATCTTTATAAGCGTACGATATTACCTTGTCTATATAACTTCTTTCAAAAAAGTGCAATATCATTAATGCCATGTGATTAAGAGTGTATGCAAACTCGATTGTACCAGCTATTGTGGCAGTACTAATTCGCCTGTTAACCTTATGCACGAACAAAAAAAAAGAATTAAAAAAAAAAAGTACTAAGCCACACCGATAAAGCACTGAACAATTCTAGCCCCTCTTATATCTCTTCACAGATCCGCAGGTATGCCCCGTCTCAGTCTCTTCGCTCTGCCCATGATCACCTCCTGTCTGCTGCTCGCACCAACTCACGCTTGCAGGACTTCTCGTGGGCGGCTCCTTTTCTATGGAGTAGCCTGCCTATAATCTTTAGACTTTTCCCTAGTTTTCAGTCGTTTGAGAAATGGAAAGCTTATGGCCTCTCAGAGTAACCTCTACCTCACATACCTGTTCCTTGCTCTCTTCTAAAGTGCACTGTTGGTATTAGAATATGTGGCAATTTCAAGAAGAATTAGAATACAGAATTTCTTTTAAATCATGTTTTAATATGGCAAGATAGTCTTGTCATCAGTACAATGAAACATAAATATCAAAATGAAAAATAAATATCAAGTAAAACCTGTAGGTGGTGCAAACAGACCAAAGTAATTTTCTGTGTCCATAGTTCAAAAATCGTGTTGTATAATTTGTTCTATTGCATTTCTCCTTGCAAAACATGACTGTATTTATATAACTTTAGCAATGATTATTAAAGTTAAATTTATACAATTGATATCTAAACTGTATTTGTAATAGGTGCTCAAGAAATATAATGTATGTGTGCGTATAGATAAAGATTACTGTTCAGCATCACCTGCCTATCTGAAGTTGGATTTTCAGAGGTTTGTTTTGGGCACAGAAATCAGGGAATCATGTGTCCAGAAGTATTCCGGAGTTCCCATCTTGACGTGCATCACAGATACCCTTTACAAAGAATGCTGTTATTAACACAGTGTATTTTAAACCAAAGCACGGGCTATGATCCAAAAGGACCAATAACGGGATACCAGCCATAGACTCCAGTTTTGATCTTGTAAGTCTCATCACCATAGCTCTGGTTTTTGTCTGAAAATTGAAATCTCTGAGCTTATATAGCTATGTACCAAAAAGGTTGTGGTGAGACTAAACACAATAAAAATCCTCACAGTGCAATTAGATTTTTTGCAGTCTTCCTTGGGTACATAAATTTGAGAAATCATGTTCCCACAACTATGCCAGAGGTCCTAGCTTGAATGAAAATTAGCACGCACTGACATTGTATTTTCAGACAGAAACACAGCTTTTTTTTTCTTCTTTATTTATTTATTTTTTACACTAAAAGAATGGATTGTGATTTAAAATAACCAGTGACCAGAAATAATTTTGGTAACTAGCTATATGCTGCAGAGAGATGCCTTAGTTTTGGAAGAAAAAATCTGTTATTAACAGCCTCCATTGTTAAGGGTATCTGCATAACTCTAGTATCTGTCTGCTCATTTACATGTTACGCTTAGAACTCCGTGATAGCTGTAAAAAAAAAAATATTTTTTGAACTTCTACCGTCATAACTAAAATGACAGTACACAGAACTATGAAATGAATATGAATAGTACTGCCCACTTCCTGCTAGTCAGTTTTTCAGTTGAGTAACCGCTAGCATTCACGGCTAACACATGCAGCGCCATCACGCTAGTGAACTAAGAACCGGTCAGAACTAATCCGTCAGAACTAATGCATCAAAAAGGAACCCATAGCGCTGTGTTGAACCTCCAACTTATGACCCATTAAAAACACTGGAACCAGGCACCATTGGTAGCTCCAACCCAAACCACTCTACCATATCCCCTTTGCATGATTTTGGACGACCAAATCAGCAATTCCCCTTCATCCTCACATCAAATAACATCCTCCACCAAAAGTTCTGATTGTTCCCTAGAACTGGGAGGAACCAATTCCTCAATCCACAGAGCTGCATAAAAACATAACAAAAAGACCACACAACAGGAGCACTTCAAATAAGGAAAAACAAATTGAGGGAAGCATCCCACATCGATTGTCCAACAAGTGGAAGGATATGGAACGCCTAACGTCTGCCATCCGTTCCCATCTCCAACTGCGTAAAATCAGTTAAACCACAAACTATTAAGTCACGTCTTCCCAACCCATGAACTACATTAAAAGACCACTATAGGCACCCAGACCACTTCAGCTTAATTAAGTGGTCTGGGTGCCAAGTCCCTCTAGGATTAACCCTTTCTGCTGTAAACATAGCAGTTTCAGAAAAACTGCTATGTTTACATTTGGGTTAATCCAGCCTCTAGTGGCTGGTTCATTGACCGCCGCTAGAGGCGCTTCCGCACTTCTCACTGTGATTTTCACAGTGAGAAGACACCAGCGTCCATAGGAAAGCATTGAGAATGCTTTCCTATGAGACTGGCTGAATGCGCATTCAGCCGATGCGCGGCAGAAGAAGGAGGAGATTCCCAGCGCCGAGGGAGCCAGGCGCTGTAAAAAGGTAAGTGTTTAACCCCTTCCTTACACTAGAACCCGGCGGGCCTTTTGCCTTGTGACTATGGCCCCTGGGAGGTATTGCCATTTCAAACCTCTATTTATGGCTATTGTGTTTTGGAGAGTGTTTCTGGCCCTTTAAATTGCACTGGTACAGTTCTGCTTAACCCTCAATACGTAGCCTTGTCTCGTTATTGAAGGGAACCTGCATCCAGCTAAATCACTAGCTCTTGTAAGAGCTCTGCCTTCCTCTCTGCACTGATCCAGCGGATTGGATTACGGGAAAATACTGCAGCACAGCCTCTCACCAGGGTCTCCATAAACCCCTCTAACAACCTGGGTGGCCGTTACATGCTCCCTCGATACCCGCCCACCTGGGGGAGCCCAAAGGTGGCCAGCCGGCCACCTCTTGGGCTCCAATAAAACGAAGCAAACAGGGTATTTGCCTGAGCATTTGGGGGTGGTGTTTTTTACCACCCCCTGGAAATTGCCGCCCAAGGCAAATGCCTTGTTTGCCTTGCGGCACACACATCCTTGTGTTCGCCTCAGACATACCTATCTGGAGAGCACTAGATTTCTCCATATTTGCTTTATATCCTGAAATTATTCCATATTACGCAAGCACCTCACAAAGGGCCTCCATGGAATCCCTTGGGTTTGTTCCGGTCAAAAGTATATTGACCTCGTAAGCAGATATTAAAACTTCCTGGTCTCCAACTTTAATCCCTTGTATAAGGGAATGTCGACACAACGCCTGCACAAGGGGCTCCAATGATAAAACAAAAAGAAGAGGGGTCAACAGGAATCCATGCCTCGTCCCGTTACCCAATCTAAAAGGCTGTGGAGGATAGAGCCACTTGACCCTATTGAATGCTTTTTCAGCATCGATAGAGACAACCAGGGTAAGTGTGTTAGCAGCGACTAGTCACCCAATGAGATCTATGTTCCTGCGGGTGTTCCCAAACAGTTTTCTTCTGGGGATAAAGCCAACTTGGGTCAGAATTAATTAGTTTTGTTAGGAAAAAGTTCAATCTGTCAGCTGAAATTTTTTGCTAAAATCTTCATATTATGATTTATAAGAGAAATAGGCAGATAATGCTCCAGTAGCAGAGGATCCTTGCCTTTTTTTTGTACAAGGACAATGTTAGCTAAGAACATTTCCCTATCTGGTAGTCCCCTTTCCTTGAAAGAGGACATTGAGGTGTTAGTTCTTCCCTGAAGATTGTGTAAATCAAAGCCATCTGGCCCTGGGGAGTTTTTCAGAGAAACTATGAAGTGGTCACCATGAATACTTACAAAATAAGGATCGGGAGCTTATAATCCTCATCTCACTGCAACAGGCCACTGGAATCAGGAATACATAAAACATTCTTCAAATTTCAAAGACCTCAAAGCAGTCTAGAACACAATGATTTCATTAAGAATACATCTACAACAAATCTTTGTCCAGATTCATTCAGATAATTCTACCACAGTGGTATATATCAACAAAATAAGGAACAAGATCTGCCACTTTAGAAACACTATGTGCAGACATTATAATGTGGACACAAAATTCCTTCTTAAGTCTTCAAGCAGTACATACAAAGGGAATGCATAACAATCTTGCAGACTGGTTGATATCTCTATCAATCAAGGTGTTTTGAGAAATTATTTGTTTTAGATATCAAGACAAGGCTTCAGTGCGCAACAGAAAAGTAAAGAAGTTTGGTTCCCTCTGCAAAGTAGGAAAGCTAACAATTTTAGATGCATTCTCTGTCCATTGGAAGTATCACTTGCTTTCATGTTCCTCCTCTAGTATTGATCCCAAGGGTTTTAGAGATAAGATCAGACAAAGTCCTGGTTGTAGAAGTAATGCATTTTTGGTCACTAAGGACATGGATTTCAGAACTTCTATATTTGTCAAAAGAGAATTTTAAAATTCTACCACAAGTCCAGATCCTTGAACATCAGCTAATAGACAAGAAAAGCCAACAAACTTGCAAACTGACAGCATGGCTACTGCGTGGGAAATCTTGAAAGCTAAAGGTTTAAAACATTTTGTTATTGACATTCTTGTACAGTGCAAGAAGAAATCCACTACTCGTATATTTAATTGTATTTTGGGGAATCATTGGTGTATCTCCAGGAGAATTTAACTTATACGGGTATCAATTCAAAACATTTTAACATATTACAAATGTGTTTTTCAAAAGGTCTTAAACCTGCTTTTATTAAAGTTAAAATGTTGTCCATTAGTTTCATGACTATTAGAAATCTAGCTTCTCATCCTCTGGTGATAATGTTTGTCAAAGCTATCAACAACATAACTCTTAACTTCAACGTAGGACCTGCACATTTATCTGCCCTTTTGTCTGAGAGTATTGAACCTTAGGAAGAAAATTTTTATTCAACAGTTTTTTCTAAAAACTGTCTTTTAGCAGGTATAACCTCGACTAAGTGTCTTGGAGAACTTCATTCCTTTGGAGCAGGCAGGGCCGGATTAACATAGGGGCTGATGGAGCTGCAGCTCCAGGCCCAGGCTCATGGAATAGGCCCATTGATTTAAAAAAAGAAAAATGTTTACTTTTTTTTTCACACACTACTCTTAGGGTTACCACCTGACCAGTATTTATTTGAAGCTGCCTGGCCGGTGATGATATTTCAGTAATACCGACAATACAAATTCCGGTATTTTTCTCAGTATAAACAGAGATTACTCTGCAATACCATCACTGGTCAGTAGGTGTCGCTGTGTGGAGAGAGGCAGGGATAGGAAGTTACGGCATATACCAGCATTTCTTTACTCTCTGATCCGCGGGGGAGCAGCTACACAGCACAGAGAATCCAGGCAGCAGTTCCCAGCCTCCAGAGACAGCCTACAGCTCAGGGAAGTGAGGGATGGGGTAAAGGCTGCAGGGAGACATGGGGACACTGAGACACTAGGGGACACAGGGAGACCTATGGGGATGCTGAGACACTAGGAGACA